GGGGTGGAGCAGCACCAGGGCGAGAGGGTACAGATGATTGGTTGTTACTAAGGGATTTAGGGCAGTGACCTAAGATGTTGGGGGACGTATAGAAACCCCCCTGGCTTCAAAGTCCACTTAGGGAAATATTATCTAGGGAGGATGCAAGGCTCAGGTATGTGGAAGACTTTCAGGAGCCAAGCAGATCTTCGATACCTGCTGAATCCGGATGGCTTTTGTGATGCGTGCTGAGTTCGGAGGAAGTTCCTGATACCTGCTGAGACTGGAGGGCAGATAAAGGCCCTAGGAAGTGTTTAGAATTCCAAAAGTCTTAGTATTGCTGACACTAAGAGGTTTCTGGTTAAAGATTTTCCTGGAGGCTACTAGGACTCTGGCCTCAGACTCACAGCAGCTTCTGTACCTAACCAGTTCTTATGTTACTCCCAGCATAATGTTGAACTGATAGAGAAAATATCATTGATAGATTTACTTAAACTCTTCATGAGACTGAATGACCATGGATTTGGAGGAATGTTTCAGTAGAGACAGGAATGTGGCTCAGAAAGAAAGTAACAAAGAGTCTGGAAAGCAGAAAGCAAACAGTAGAGTCACAGAGATTAATGCTACGGTGGTCTCGTCACTCTTATAAAGTACTCCTAAGAAATGGCTGAGGAACATCTCTAGATCCAACGACTGCATTCAGTTTTTCTCGTTGATGAAAGCGGTGACAACCTCAACATAGGCCAGTGAGTGACAATGAGAGAAAACAACACATTAAGGATTTTTATGGTAATATAGTTGATTGTTTCCTAAAAACTATATTACCATAAAAATCAATCAAACAAAAAAAAAAATCATTCAAATTCTGGACACAGAAAGGAAAACTAGCAGAAGACATTACCTATGTCTGTTTAAACTAGGGTGCATAATCCAGCAGTTTGTAATGAATATGTTGGAAGCCCAAGAAGATACAATAGAGAAGACCTCAAAAATCAACTAAAAGAATCCAGGAGATGAGATGGAGATTTAGGATGGACAAGACACCAGGAACTCAATCAGGGCTTGGCAAACAATAGCCCACAGGACAAATCCAGCTGGCTGCCTATGATGTAAATAAAGTTTTATTGGAACACAGCCATGTTCATTCATTTATACATTGTCTATGGCTGTTTTCACATGATAACAGCAGAGTTGAGTAGTTGTAATAGAGACCATCTGTCCTAGCAGGTCTAAAATATTTACTATTCAGCCTTTACAGAAAAAGTTTGCTGACCCCTGATCTAAATCATAAATGATGAAATCACAAACTACTTAAGTTTTGGAATCTAAAATGAGAAGACAGAAAACTGAGACAGAAAAGAAACAAATTATAAAACTCATTACCCCCAAGGGTACTGTTACCAGGGCTAGGAAGCCCTCTCCCTGGTCTCGCCTTACTCACACAAAGAATCTCTGCTAGCGAACGATCCGTGGGCAGGCAGTCCCAGGGGATCCACAAGCAAGTGGGGGTGATCCCCGAGCAAGCGGCATTGGCGGTAGCTTAACAAACTTACTCAACAAAGCGCCAGTCCCACAAGCACACAAGCCTTCATTAAAAGTGAAGCACATTTCCAAAGGGAACACAGGTCTTTCACCATAAGAAGGGAGGACCCTAAACTGTCTAACTTTACTGGCTCTACAGTTCCTAAAAGAGGCATTCTTAAGGTGGGGCTGGGCCCCTTGAGTGACAGGACCCTGATTATATATTCACATCCCTTCTGCATATGTTCCTTCCCATAACTCAGTCTGTTCTACTTGAAGCCAAAAAGTAACTGCCATGCTAATTAGGTGATAATGATATGGCCATGTAATAAGGTTACTTTGGGTCAGGGGCATGAGGCTTCTGTGCATGCCCCAGATTAGGGAATTCCCCAAAACCTCAAGTTCCTGGATCTGTGATTGTTCTGCTTAATTTTAATTGGCCAGGTAACACAGGCAGCTGTGGGCTGCTGCAGGTGTTAGCTTCTTAATCTCCTTAAATAATCTGCCCCCTTCCCTTTTCTCCTCCCTTCAGGGCAGCCAGGGCGGCCCTCTTATCCTACTTTCCTGCCTAACATTTCCTCCTTGAAGGGCACATGAGTCTTAATTCATTAAGGGAGATGGATGCCATTGTTTTCTGGCTCCTTCATGCTGTAAGTGGGTCATTGTCCTGAGTAACAGAGACTTGGTAGCACTTCCTTACTATCTCTAGAGGAGAAAAAGGGAATTTTCAGAGGCTAATTATCTGGACAAGTACTATGGCTATGGCTAAGTTCAACAGGCCAAAGCAACTTTTTGGTATTTTCTGACAAATTTTCAAAATTATTTTCTGGCCTGGTCCAGCTGAGTCACTGGAGAGGTTGGGAGACGAATGTATCCTGGGTGCTCGTGGAGCACCTGGAGGCTTACAGCCTGAACCCTAGAAATGACAAACCGGGTTAGAAGGCTTAATTAACTAGCTCCAAAGCTGTTGGGGAGGTGGGACTATCCCTTGAGAAAGAGTTACTGGTATGAACAGTTGTTGTTGTTGTTATTTGCTGTCGAGTCGGCCCCAACTCATAGCGACCCCTCCTTGGGTTTCCGAGGCAGTATCACTACAGAAGTAGGATTGCCCAACCTTCCTTCCGAGGAGTGGCTGGTGGATTTGAACCGCCAGCCTTCTGGTTAGCAGTCAAGTGCCTTAGCCACTATGCTACCAGAGGTATG